GCAACAGGCCGCCAGGATGACTTTTTAAGATACCCTTCTGACGGGTAGCCTGTTGGGTGTCTGTGGCATGGGCTCGCGGCTACCGAGAATTGCACTGGCCCTTGCCAGGACCTGCTTGGAGCCAGCCACCTCCCTTGCTGCTCGACGGCAAGAAGTTGGGGTTCGTGTTGCCCCCCCCCTACTTACCAGGAGCCTTTTGTCAGTTCCCGTGCTATGAACAGGAGAAGTGGCCAGTCAGACACATCCCCGGCTCAAGCATTGTGCAGATCATGATGGACACATGTGTTGCTGCCCGGCCCAAGCAGTGTGCAGATCATGATCCATGCAGGCAACCGTTTTGCCAATCTAAATCGAGCAAGGCGGCCCAATGGTGATGCAAGAGGCATCCGGTTCTGCAGAGCCAAGCCCGGCGCTTGGCGCCATGTGGGGTCTGCAGACAAAGTTCTCCCTTGGCATGCCCACAGCCAATCCACTGGCTCAGGACCCCCAGCTTCACTCATAGTTTGTTGGATGGTATCCCGACAAGTTTTCCGCCCTCTGCTACTTTCTCTAGATGACCTCCTAAGAGTCCACACATGGCTGCCTTGGGGGTTGCCTCACTAAGTAAGCTCCTCCCGTCCACCTCTTCCCCTCGCCTTGCTAAAGCCAAGACTGGAGCTGCCAATCCTTGTGCAAACTTTCGAAGTGTACAACCCACAGTTGGTCCCTAGAGAGCTGTACTTTGCACCTCGAGCCAATGCCTAGGCTTCACACCAATGGGCCACGCAACCCGCCGCTGGGCCCCTCCCCGCTGCTCTCCACCAACCCTTCGCCGCCCGAGCCAGCGGCAGACCTGTGGCCCCCGGAGGACGAAACAGAGGCCCCGGCCGGCGGCTATGGCGGCGTTCTTTTGCTGCACTCCTCGTGCTTTTTTCTCCTTTTTTTTTTCCTGGGGGGGGAAGACGAGAGGAACCTACAGGAACCATTTTGAAGCCGGGTAAACAACCATACTCAAGATTCGTCCTTGGTTAGCTAGGCATTGAAGGCTGGCATCAAGTCATAGTCGGATACACGTTGCAAATTCCCGAAAGTATGGCATGGGGAATCCTAGCCATTGTGCCTTGCCAGTTGCCACACCCTTTGGAAACCAGAAGACCCAGAAGAGGACATGCCCAGTACCTTGAAGCTGAACCTTTGGTTCTGGGTAGCGACCAGTATATTGTTGGCACTTGATTAATAAAGGCCCCCCCCCCCTGAACAATGGAGGTGCCCAAATAAAGGGGGCTCACTTTTGGGACGTCCAAACAATGGAGGATTTTGGGGCCCAATTCCACGTTAGTATTGCAGCCACTTCCTGTTTGCAATTCTACTTTAGTATTGCTGCCACTTCCTTTTTGCAATTCTACTTTAGTATTGCAGCCACGTCCTTTTTTGCAATTCTACTTTAGTATTGCAACCACTTCTTCCTGAGCAGGCTTTTTGGAATACTACTTTAGTATTGCAACCACTTCTTCCTGAGCAGACTTTTTGGAATACTACTTTAGTATTGCAACCACTTCTTCCTGAGCAGACATTTTGGAATGCTACTTTAGTATTGCAACCACTTCCCTTTCAGTTCTTTCTGTAGCCATTCAAAGGGGCGTGCCACCAATTGAAAGGGGATGCTTTGAAGCAAGTGGGTCACCAATTGAAAGGGGATGCTTTGAAGCAAGTGGGCCACCAATTGAAAGGGGAATGCTTTTGAGTAAAGCAACTGATAGTTTATTTTCTGGGAGGGGGGGCTGGGGGCTTGCAATTAATGTGGTCCCCGAAAAGAATGACATTATTGTGGTTCAGTGGGGTCTGTGAGGGGTACTCTTGTCCTGATTGTATTTGTTGCATTTGTTTAACACGGTTTAATAATGAGTTTGCAGTTTCAGGGCTGGGGATGGTTTTCAAATTTCAGAGGTTTCAGCTGGCTTTGGGTTCTGTGGTTGAGCAACCAATTGAAAGGGGAATGCTTTTAAGCAAGTGGGTCACCAATTGAAAGGGATGCTTTGAAGCAAGTGGGCCACCAATTGATAGGGGAATGCTTTTGAGTAAAGCAACTGATAGTTTATTTTCTGAGAGGGCTGGGGGCTTGCAACTAATGTGGTCCCCTAAACTAATGACATTATTGTGGTTCAGTGGGGTCTGTCAGGGGCACCCTTGTCCTGATTGGTTTTTTTTTTTACATTTGTTGACACGGTTTAATAAAGAGTTTGCAGTTTCAGGGCTGGGGATGGTTTTCAAATTTCAGAGGTTTCAGCTGGCTTTCGGGTTCTGTGGTTGAGCAACCAATTCATTTTGATTTTGGGTGATTGTTGGGGGGGGGGTGTGGTTTTTTAAATTAAATTCAAAATTTATTTTTGGAGTTTTTTTTTGAATTTCCCCCCGGGCAGAAACACTTTCAATTATTCTGGTCCCCCTCAACAATGGGTGCGAACCAGAATAAGGCAAAAAACTTGCGATTATTGACGCCCGGTTGATTAATCAAGTGCCAACATTATGTTGAGTCGTGGGGTCGCGAGCCAAGACGTGTTCCTCAGTCGCAGGGTTTCGGAGTTCGATATGTCTCGGTTGGTCAAGAGTGGGCCGAGTACTGTGTTCTCTGTGTGCGTCATTGTGTGACAAGAGCGCGAAGTGAGGCTGAAAACTTGGGGGCAAAGCGTGGGGTTTGTGGTTGCCTTGGCTTGGTTGCCTTGGTCAACAGAGGTTAGCAACAAAGCAGCGCCCCTCTTCCTCACCGTTGTAACCCACCCGCTTGTCTATCCTCTCTGCATGGTATGAAAAATGATGGGCAAGGACTACCACATATGTGGTGCCCGTGAAGGTCGTGGTCCTTAAGCGTACCGATCTCCACATTTGGCAGCCTGGCACAGCCCGTTTTACAACAAGACAGGCCGTAATACTAATAATAAGAATAACAATGATAATAATAACATTAGAAAAAGGGAGAAAACACAAACTAGAAAAACGAGTTGAACCATGACCCGCGTAACTGAGAGGACTTTTGTAGAATTATGAAACTAGCAATCCTTTCAGGTGAATGAGTCAACTCAGCTGTAGTAACTTGTGTGTTGTTTGTCAAGGTGAAGTTGAGCGCAACTGTGGTGAAACTACTGCAGCGCCAAATGCACAAACCAGTGCAAATCACCTCCCGACATCAGCCCGACAACAAGCAAACCTTGGAAAAGCGACAACTCACAAGCTCACAGGCGCTAGCTCAGACTTTGATATGATATGTTTCCCCCGTGAGAGGGTGGGGGTGACGCTAGGCGCAGGCGCTGGAGTTGGGTGGGACCGCCATGGAGGCGGCGGCATTGGTGCTGGATTGAGGCTGGAGCACGTGCCTCGCTGGACCTTCTCCAGTGGCCGAGTGTTCCGTTTTCGGTTTGCCCACACGTTGTCACTTGAGATGGCCCGCTTGTTGAGGTGTGCGAGATTGCTTCAATTTGACACAGCCAGATCCTTTGTCAAAGCCAAGCAGGGGGGTAGAGAGAGAGAGAGAGGACCGGCGTTTCCAAAGCAATGGCTGGATCAGGGTGTCAAAGTGCCAGTGCAATGTGACCTGGCGCATGGTTGCCCACTGCAAAGCTATTGATGCAAGGCTTCATCACTTCCAGCATGCACCTTGGATTGTTCACCCTGGCTAGGGTTCAATTGTACGCATGGTAGCGGCGATGCTTGGAAGTAATTTAAAGGCTGGGCATTGTCACTCTTGCGCGAGGCCGGCCTGGACTATGAGACAACAGGAGTCCTCGGATTGCATGTTTCCGGCCCTTGCCGTTTCTGTGTGCTTCAAGCCCACAGGGCCTCGTGCGCAAGTCAAGCGTGGCTGCGCCCGGGCTGATTGTGGCCGGTTGGCGACAGCCTCAGTCCCAGCTGTTGGCCTGGTGGGGGTGCCCTCTCGGTGCAGCAATTTGCTCACGTTTCCGCACTCAGACTTGGCTGATGGGCTGTAAAAAGGGCCGCTGGAAGTCCAAGGCGCATCAAATGGCCACGGTGATTGTACATGGTTTCAATAAGGACAGATTTGTCAAACGCGGTGCGGTCGGATGGTGATGTCCAAAGTAGTGACCCACCGTACAGACCATAGCGGCCGCGTTTGCTTTCCACGGGCCATGGCAACTGTGTGTGTTCTCGGAATGTAGGGAGATGAGCAGCGCCCATTTGATGTGTTAGGTACCGAAATGTATGGGAGCCGCGTTGATTTGCATCACTGTTGAAAGTTGCACAAAGGCGTTGGCCAAGGCTATGAACGAGGCTTGCCGGCTGTGTAGCAGGTTTTTTTTCATACCCTTTATTACCATAGGTAGATGACCTCAAAACAATGAATGGTTGGGGCTGGCCAAGGGGATGCGTATGAACTGCAATTTGACTGGTCATTTGTCCATCAGGGGGGGGGGGTTGAGCCCATTTTGGGCTTGTTTTTCTGCAGAAAATGGGGGGGGTCCAACCCCACCCCCAACACCAGACCCCTGTGTCCATCGATTATTGCGGTATTTGTGGGAAACTTGGGTTGTGTGGACATACGCAATCAGCTAAACAAGGTTTGCAGCTGGCTGGTGGAAACTATAAGAGCGCTTGACAATGAGTAGACAAAGAACAGCTGGCGTGGGTCATGTTGGCAGCTTTGTGCACGCTTTTCGTTTGGGTCAGGGGTACACGGACTAGGAACTATGGGCAAACTGAGATGCCTGCCCGGTTTTGATCGTCATTTTGCATTGACGGCGTGTTCAAAACGGCGGCTGAAACTGGTGGCCTGGCAAATGTACGCAGGGTCCCATGTGATCATCTGAACCCAGGTTTCCAGCTGGCTGATGCAGCGGTGTTCCCTTGGTCCAGAATGTGGGGAAGGATCACATCGGAGGTTTGGCTACGGCGGTTGGTGTTTGGTGCTCCATGTGTTTGCTTCACTTTGTTTCGCAAAAGCACACATGTTCAGGGCAAGTTCTTGTTTTGCCGCGATGGCTGCAGGCTTTCTTGGATCATTGTGACAGGTCTCCGTGCGAATGATGGAAGCACATCCACGGAAGCCGGGGTGAGCGGAGCAACTAGGCCACTAGGCACCAACGGTGGCCGGAGTGAAAGGACTTGCAAGGGAAGTGGCAGAATAGCTATGCAACAGTAGTCAAGTGGTCCAGATGGCACACTCAATTTCTGGGTATGAATGAGGGGGTTGTTTTGTTGCGAATCGGTAGCATCCGGCTCATTAATGAAGCAGTGCCGTAGCTTGCCACTCCCGCCGGCCCCTGCTGTAGGAATCCAGCAATTGCGGAATCACAGAGTCAACATGCCGCGGTGCGACAACCATGGCGTGAAAAGCTTGCAACAACTGCAACCTTGCTGCTTCGACGACTGAAGCGCACTGCGCGCATGCTTAAGGTCAACTTTTCGGAACGTAGGTGTCCTTTTTAGATATTTTTAGGCGCGTGTGGTGTTAATTTATCAGGGCCAGCAATTTTTCGAAACGGACATCAGTGGTTGGGAATTCCGCTTTGCGTTTCTCAATCGATGTGGATGGCCAAGCAGCTTTGGGCCCGTCAGGTGCAAATGCAGGCAGCAGCATCAGCCATATTCGCGACCAACTTGCGGTAATGGAAGCCAGTCTTTGAGCATTTCCTGCAGAGGGTGACAACGTAGATCTGTGCAAGAGCCGCCTTTAGCAATGTGGGCTCTGTCCTTGGCGCTGTTCCTGCACGCAGAAGCGGAGCCAAACCCTCCGCAGTGGCCAGCAAGCGTAAATGCGGCTGGCTGAGCAGATGCATGGGTGGGTTGTGGGGTGCCAGCTTTCAACGTTTTGGATTCTCACCCCAAGCCCTGAATCCTTAGATGGCAGTTCCTTTCAGATGCAGGGTTTGCTGGCATGAAACCTGGCTTCCATGGACGTGTTCACCTGGCTCCGCACCCTTGCTTTGAAGCCGCTTGCCTTTCAGCTGGCCAAGTCAAATGCGATCGATGTGCACTAGGACAGTCAGACCACGCTTGGTTGATTGTCGAACCCACGCAGATGAGCGTGCAACCGGTAGCCAAAGCCTGCACTGAAGCATGGCCATGCAGGTGATGCAAGCATGCATGAGTCAACCTGACAAGTCATTAGCCATCACTTTGTAGCTTCGGTAAATAAAAGTTGTCATCCACGTCCAGAGGTTGGGGTTTTCCGATCCTACAAAGTAAGTGCATGCCCAGGGCTGCCCCACATGGATTTCAGACATGAGCATTGCATGTTTCAGCCGCTGAGAGATGCGCGAGTGTGTGCCTGCGTGTCATGACGCTATGCCTTTGCGACAAAGTATGTGGACCTTGGCCCTTTGCTCTTTTTGGTGTGAACTGCAATGCTTGGTGTTGGGAGACGTGACAACGGATATCTTGACACTGCATGTGTCCGAAATGATACCCTTAGTCTACCTCTGATTGGCGCAAGCCGTCCGTGTGCACGAGGCCTTAGCGCATGCCATGGGCCTGCAAAGAGGTCCACGAACAGTCCAGACCACCACCACCACTAGAAGTAACCGCGGCATGTCGTGGCCGCTGCCGCGTAGGAATAGGAGTAGGAGTAGGAGCAGGAGATGAGCAGGAGCAGGAGCAGGAATAGAAGTAGTACTAGTGGTGTTGCTTGTGGTTTGTTTTATTGGCGCATGGATGAAGACCTTGAGCCGCTCCTGCTCTACCTTGCGACTCTCCTGCGCGGCGCTAGGATGGGCAGCCGAGGCTGGCATTCACTCTGTTAGGACATCCCCCTTTGTAAGGTAGTGGTAGTGGTAGTCAGTGGCAGTAGAATCACGCAACCCGCTGCTTTTTGGTGTCAAGGAAAACCACGTAATTAGACATACTTCTTTGGAGCCGCCCGGGTGCTCATCAAAAATATGATGTTTTGCGGTTGGATTCATGTACACTGGTTGTTCGTTGTTCGTGCGGAGTAGGTTCATTTGTTCCAGGTGGAACTGGGATGAAGACCGTGTTTAGAAATCTCGCCCAACAAGAATGAGCAAACTCATATGTGTTTACCCATATCTAGAAAAATACATGTCTGTGGTTTGTCGTTGGGACACTTATGTAAAGATAGCTTCAAGCGGTAGTCTTGACAGTGTTCAATGTTGCTGAGCCGCGCTTTGAAATAATTTGACGTTGAGTATGCTGAGCATTCCATTGTAACAGCAGCCGTAAGTAGCTCTAGTAGTGGTACTGCTTTTATGCTACTTCTACTGCTCTACGGGAGTGTTGAGCCGCGCTGCGGCAGTACGCTTTGCATACTGCCTTGGATTTGTCACCGTCTTATGCAGACAGTCGTGCCAAACCAGCAAACCTGACGACGATACTGGCACTATATAAACCTGAAATGTGCAAGGGGTGCCACAAGAAGAAGACCTGTGCCACAAGGGTTTCACCCAGGTGTTTGGCCCGGAAGACGACCTGGCTACCATCGAGGCGGCGGTGAACGCTGCCTACGCCGTGAATGGCGGGCAGCCGGACATCGGTCAGTTCTCCTCAAAGAGGCCGGGCGGCCTATGACTTTCGTGCCAGAAGGGGTGAGTACATAGGTGTCCTTTTTGGTTGATTTGGTTGAGAAATAGAGGGCGATTCCTGGTTTTCCTGGTGGTTCAATCAACTACCAGGGCCATCAATTTTCCCAAAAAGGACACCTGTGGGTGAGTGGGGTTAGATGGGAAGGTCCGAGTTCGAGTTGAGGAGGGACAGCAAGTCTAAATCATTTGGCTTTGGCCGACCTGACGCTGCTTTAGGCAGATGTGTTTTAACAGCAGAGCACACTTCGATGACCCGTGTCAGACATGTTCGAAAGGCCGGTGTGAGGAACTTGGAACAGTTGCCCGGCGCAGTTGTAGGCCGGTTAGGCGAGTCTCATGCTGATGCTGGTGTGTCAAATGTGGGCGGTGAGAGTCGGCGGGCCAAAACTATCAGTCCCATTGGTCTACGTTGGTCAGTGTTTCGAAATAACGCAGGGGTTCTGCGGTCGCCTCCTATAGACCATGTTTGCGATGGATCTCATTCGCTGAGCTCCTTTTGAGGCAGTTTGTCGCTGGGCTGGACTCATAGGAGCCTAGGTTTGTATGTCAATATTGAGAGCTCGAAACCCTTTCAATGGTTGGTCGGTTTCTCTCAAGCCATCCACATAGGGACTCCTTGATGTTTTCCCTTGTGCGGCACTTCACAACCCGAGATGTCACAGCAGCCTGAGGTTTGTGTTCATGTTCAAGCCGGGCAGCTACAACGTGGATGTGCCCGTGGGCTACTACACTCAAGTCCTTGGCTTGGGTGTGGAACCCTCGGAGGTAATCTTCACCTCCAGCAAGGGTGTGTACTCTGAGGAGATCCTTGGACGGCGTTTGCGTTTTCTTTTCTTGTTTTTTTGGGCTGAGGTGGGCTAGACTTACAGCTGGACAATCCTGCTTAAGATTCTAGAGGCCTGCGCTTCTATTGAGCCTTACGCTGTGCATAGGTCCACCCCAGGACTGGGATGGGAATTCCATGTGAGCCACAATCAAAACCCGGGTAGATGAAGGTTAGTAAGGGACAGTCCCTGCCAGAAGCAGTTGCGGCCGCCTTTTTCCTTACATGGTTCTGGGTTAACCATTTTGGTACCGGGTTTTGATTATGACTCATGTCGATTTGATCCGGCCAACCACTGCCCAAGGCCGACTCGTTTTGGTTCTCTCAGGTCGAACTTTGCGGTGAACCCGGGCGCGCTGTGCACCTTCTGGCGCGCAGCCGAGGGCTTCCAAACCAATGCTGTGTATGCCTGGTGCACCGGCGAAAGAGCATGCGCGAGCCGTGCTAGTTGACCCCCCAGGTGACGTTTCCGGGTCCTTTTTAAGGATGATGACTCAGAGGTTGCAAAAGCTGCCATTCATTGCTTGGTTGTTGGCATGTGCCTTTGTATGTCTGGCTTGCCTACATGCGCATGCATCATGCTTCGGATAAGGTTCGAACATATTTGCATGTGTAACCGTTGTGCGTGTGTGTTTGTGTGTTTGTGTGTTCGTGTTTGGGCTTGTGTGTTTGTGCTTGTGCTTGCACCTGTGCTTGTGCTCAAGCTTGGGCGTATGCTTGTGCTTGTGTTTGTGCTTGGCTTTTGTCATTGTCAGGGTGTTTGGGTGTTTGCATATGCTTGTTTTATTGTGTGCTTGTGCTGGTGTGTGTGTGTGTGTGTTTGTGTTTGTGTTTGTGTGTGTGTGTGTGCGTGTGTGCGTGTGCTTGTGCTCAAGATTAGGCTTAGTTTCGGGCTTGTGCGCGTGTTTTTATTTGCATTGTGCTTGCGCTTGTTTTTGTGCTTGTACTTTTTCCTGAGTTTGTTTGTTTGCGCTTGTGATTGTGTTGTGGTTTGTTTGTTGTGTGTGTGTGTTGTTTGTTGTGTTTTAGTTTGTGTGTTTGTGTGTTTTTGTGTCTGTGTGCTTGTGTGCTTGTGTGTTTGTGTGTGGGTGCGTGTTTGCTGCGTGAATGTTTTTTTTTTGTGTGTGTGTGTGTGTGTGTTTGGGTTTGTGCTGAATTGTTTTCTTGTGCTTTGCTCTGTTTGTTTGCTTGTCTATTTGCTTTGTTTGCTCGCTCGCTTGCTTGCTTGCTGCAGCTTCGTGCTCGCTCGCTCGGGTGCTCGCCTTTTGTTCTGTGTGTGTGTGCGCGTAGTGCCCACCCAATTTGCCCCGACGCTGAGGAACGACAACGGGAATCAAGGCATGCTGTGGGCAGCTTCACAAGCGGCATCCCTGCGGAGGTGCCTTTTTACGCATGGGCTCATGGGCAGGCTGGCTGCCACAGGTTCAGAGAACAGCGGCGCATTGAGACTTCCGCCAGCCAATCTACTCCAGACACTGCTTCAGAGCGGCGAAGGAAATGCTTTCTAGAAGCTGTGCATGATATTGGAGGCAAGTGGGGCCTCTGATTTGCGTTCGCGTCAAGTTGATGTCCTGTGAAAGCGCTTCCAACCGTGTTTCAGGCATTTGTGCATGTTTTGTTGTTGATGCGTTGGCTGGCTCGGGCACATGTGCCCATGGGGATGCCTGTCAGGAAGGTATTGTTCTGTATGTGGTTACTGCTTCGAACGGTGTAAGTCCACACGTCGTGCCCATGCACCAGACCAGCAATTACCTTGTGAGACGCACATGGGAAAGTGGCAAGCATCAGCTAGCATGTGTGGGCTTCAGGAAGTGTGCCAATGGTGCGTGCATGTGCCCAGGAAGTGTTGTGTGTGTATGTGGTGCATGCTTTGCGGGCGCATCGGCTTGACGAGCTAGGTTTGGGCCCAGTTTATCCCACCAGGATCATCGTGACCAACGATCTGGACCTCTACCAGTATCGCCAGGGCGATCGCGCTGCTGGCTATGCCTCCGGGGGGTATATGAGCCCTTTGGCTCATATGTACTCAAAGCCGGCTCCGTTCAACCAAAGACGGTGTCAAGCAATCTAGCCTTTGTAGTTCAACGGCGTGGTCAAAAACAGAAGGTCGACCATTTGCAAACAACCATTGCATGCTCTGGCGGATTCGGCGAGCAGCAACCAGCAGCGTGCCTTTGACTCTTGTGGATTTGCCTATGCCAAGAGCATGGTGATTGCAGCCAGTGGGCTGAAGAAAGATCACCCTCCTCCTGGTATTCATCAATCTGCGCCATTGCTTTTTCTTGTTGGACGTGTGGGCTGTGCAAAGTGCGCGGAGCGCATTCTGATCGGAATGAACACCAGGTTTCTGGATTCAAGCCCACCAAACTCTTGCTGTTGGACGTGGGCCCCGCAAAAGGTAGCGAACAATGTTTGCAATAGGGTGTGTACTGCAGTGTGGCGAAACACTTTGCTGGCTGACCCGCTTTTGCAGAAGCGCTAGATTCCAAGTCCTCAGGGCAACCAGCCTGTGTGTTGACGCGCATGTTGTTGTGTGTAATTATGCATCCCTAGAGCCCATAGTCAATCACATGCACCCTGACACCTTCTAGAATGGCTGGTGCTGATTTCAAGTTCCATTGTTTCTCAAATGATGAGCCCCTGTGTTGCAGGGGATCGCCCTGGCATGAAGACTCCACAATGCATGCCACACATCTTGTTTATTGTTTGCGTGATGCCAGCAGCTTAATTTGCCCTCTTCGCGGATCCCTGATATTCTGGTTTGCCTAGGCTCATCCAACACAGAGCTGCTGGATGATTTAGGGCACCCTACGTCAGGCTAGCTTTTGTCCGGTACGCTTTGTGCAGCGTCAGCTGAACGCTTCGTAAACTTGCCGCAGAGGGTTTGACCGGCGACGTTAGGGTGAGCAGATCACAGCAAGGCAACTCCATGGTCAAGGGCAAAGTCTCCAGCGGCTCGCAGCAACAGTACCTGGCGCGGAACTCGCAGGTGGGTAGCAAGTTGTTTCTGCCAATGTCGGAAGCCGGAGCACCACAGTCCAAAATGGATCACGTCTTCACGAGTGTTGTTTGCGGCCGGAACTGGGTGCTGGCAGTAATCACTAATGAACTCATTTGGCGTTTCGAAATCCTTGTCTCAAGGCCTTGGTTCAAATTGCTCAGAAGCGTTGGCAGTTCATTCCCGAATTGGCTTTAGGCCATTAAGTTTCTTGTGCGCCATGTGAGTTTCTCGTTTCCACGAACTCATTCCCCAAGTTGCAACGGATCAATGTCTTCAAGCCAACGGTTCTGACGTGCGGTGCCAGTTACCTTTGCTCTGTGCGTGCCTCCTGGTGTCCTCAATATACTTTGGCCTTGGATGAAGAACACCTCCGGAGAACAGTAGAATTAGGCGCAAGCTGGAAGCTGGGGCAGGTACTGCGGCTTTGGAAGTGAATGTGCATCCATGATAGGCTCAATGCTAGGGGCGGCCATTGGCAACCTGCAAATTGCAGAGGCGAGTCTTGATGTTTAGCTTGGCGGGACCACAGCAATCAATCAGATCTTCGGGACTGCTATCATAAAATCTATCATGTGCCAGGCTCATTTACGGAAATGTTGATTGCAGGTTGGTACCTGGCGAGACGGTGTCTGGAATGAGGTCTTCGTTGGCACGGAAGGCCGCATGCGGGCATCCGTTTGGATCTTCACCCGCAAGGGACTAGAGGGGGGGCCCGGCCAGTCCTGCGCATGCTGCTCGGAAATTTCATGTTCGTGGGGTGCCGAGCCCAGTCACAAAGTGACGTCCTTGTGCCATGCTTTTGATGCTGAATGCCGGAAAGGGCCATCTCTGAGCAAGGCGCAAGATGCAGGTTTCTGACCGTGCATTGGGGATGTCCACGAAACCTGGGAATTTTGATGGGGCCCGGAACGGACTTTGCGAGAGTCACCCATGCGCCTTTCAGATCGATGCATTATGGGGAATGTCGCTTCTGGCCCACAGAAAGCAAGTTTTGCTGGCACACGCTGGCAGGGCCAAACTAGATGGTCGCAACTTTTCCGGCGGAATATTGGGTCCTGCCCCTTTGCAAAGCACACCTGGCAACTAAGCCTTTTCTCACTTGGCATCGGGAGTCGGGAGGCGCCCCCAGCAGCCATTGCGGCGCGGACGCCGCCAAGTGTGCGAAGCCTTTCGTGACGGTGAACGCGGCGCCCAAGGTGGCAGTCCCTCGGCCTTCCAGTGACGCCTATGCTCGGGTGGGATTCCTCCCAACTTCGCGCCAAACTGAGAAACGCAACTAAAAGCAGAGAATCCTTTCATTGCTCGGCGCTTTGTTCATCCTTCACAGACACTCAGCAGCATGATGCGGGGAAATTTGCTGCATCAATGGACATCTCAGATGGGAGGGTGGGAATCAGCCCTTTTTGGAGCGCAACCGCTCCGAATCCAGGCAAGCGAGAGAGGGAAGACAGGGACCACGCCTAGGGATGGGTCAAAGGAACAGATGCCAACAGCCGATGTATATCCACCCACCTTCCCACCCACCGGCCTTCCTCTGAAACCTGCTCACCGCCCACCCATCCATCCGCCTGCCTACCCCACTCACGAAATAAACCGCCCTACTTCCCCGCCCAACAGTCATTCACCCGCCTACGCAGTCGCTTGCACACCAGTCAAGCAGTTGGCCATCTCTGTAGCGAAGCAGATCAGCAGGCCATGCGATGGTGATATGAACTCGTGCTATTGATGCTGCAGCAGTTGCTAGCCCCCAAGTGACTGCAACCGTTTCAATTCCGGGTGTTTAATTTATGTGATGGCCAATTGCACTTTGACTTTCGCGTGCAAGCACGGTCTGCCCATCATCATATTTGTCCCCACCCTCTTGATCACAGAAAATGGGGGCAGGCCCCCAAAAACATGTAAGCCCTCCCCCCCAAGTTGTTTCCGATTCAGGTCAGGACCCCCTCCCCGCAGCAAGATGGTATGCCTCAGGTCCTTAGCAACTTTCAAGCATAAAGCTTGTAATATGACAATTTGCAGGTCCCTGTGAATAAACGCTTGCATCTTTCAGGGAACATGTAAGCTGGCATTTTCAGGTATCCCCTGAAGGGGGTGGGGGTCTTATTCCTGGAGTCAGGAAAAGCCCTTCATCAGCTTCTCCAATGGCAGCACGCTGCAATGGCAGAGCTTGTGCTGTTAGGGAATGGTGGGATTGGAGTCAGGTCTTTTCAGGCAAGTGCTTGCAACAAGTGCCAAGCTTGCAACAAGTCGGTCATGGCTGGGATTTTGCTGGGCTGATTCAGTCGGTTGACGGAAGGTTGGCAACAAACACTCAGCACGGCTTGCATGCTTGAGAAAGGGCCATGTGACTGGACCCTTCGTGTGCTTGCCAGCGCGTGCCCCGTGTACATGCCCTCAGGTTGTGGAGTTTGCTTAGGAGTGCCTGCCCTCAAAGAGGCTTCTCTTATCGCAGACTTGCATAGTATCCTTCTACAAGAGGGGTTGCCTGGATTTTTGTTTTGCACGCCACGGATCCACAGAATTGGCAGCATTGTCGCAACATGCAGTTCCACAGAACTCGGTGTACCAGAGCAAGGCACATACCAGCTGAACATCCCGCGGGTGGTCGAGAACACGCGGGGCGTCAACTACAACAACGTGGATCAAGTGGGATTTGAGCAGGCCTGACTGAGCGGACAGTCTTGCGGTTTATGTTCAGCCTCTTTTATGAACATCTAGTCACTTTGCCAGAGACAGTCCTGTTCCTGACAGTTACACAGAGAGTTTGATGGTAGGCAAGTGTTTGCTACGTAGCGCAAGAGCTTGCCATGAGTGATGGATGTCCTATTGAAGGGCGTGGCTACCATGTTCTTATGTTTGAATTGCATCATGGCCAGGGCAGGGCTGTTTGTTGCTAGGGAGCTGTTGGCCTCACCCGGTGGACTGCGTATGGGGGCAGTAGGGCAGCATGCACGGGTGCGATCAGGTCTACGTTGCAGATGCGTCAAAAGACACGGCCCAGAGCATCAATGCAGCTTGGATTGGTTTAGGCGGGCAAGTTATTCTTCGCGCTGTTCCAACTTGATTTATGGCTGTTTGTCGCTTTTCTACCAGCGCCGCTTGAGTGTGACCGCTACTCATCACTCACATGCTCTGTAAATAAGGGTCGCAGGATGGCAACAAGTTGACTGCTGCAAGCTGATGACGACGAACATGCTTATATATGAGGCGCACGATTGAGGCTAGCTAAGTGACTGATGACCCCCAAGAGAGTTTCTGGAGAGAGGGTAGCTATCGCCGAACATCACCCAGATGTCCCTTTCAGCCGGCCTTAGCATGAGGACGTGCAGACTCTAAGGCAAAGCTTGGACTGGGCCTTCACGTTGTGCTGACCCCTGGCATCTACACGCTCTCCGAGCCATTGCGCTTGGCGCACAACCAGCAGGCACTTTGGTTTTTGGACGCGGATGAGAAAGACTGAGAACGCTTCAAGCTGGAATGACACATACACCCTCCTTTCAGCCTTCGTGTTTCCGCACTTTCCAGTGACCTTCTTCACGTGTTTGTCTCATTGGTATGTCCCATCTTGCCGCTTTGCATGACATGGCAAAAAGGCATGCCGGCCTTTGTGAGTCAGAAGGATTCATCATTACGGGGAGCAGTGGGGAGAC